ACATTCGTGGATGTGTACAGAGCAGCAAAAAATTTTGAGTTGTCTGGTGCATGTATTCCAATCTGAGCTTGAAAAGGCGATGCTTTGCTTTCTTGTTTCAGCACTCATAAACAAATGTAGTTTTAGTGGTGTATTTATTACCGAACTTTGCATTTTTGTGCATCATCTTGGTGATTTCACTGATTAAAATGGCCCTCAAACAGCACTGAAGTGCTGTCTGATGTTCCTAAGTGCAGGAAGGCTGTGATGTATCTCATGGAGAAAATATTTATGTCAAATAAGCTTTGCTCCATTGTGAGAAAGAGTGTTGTTGCCTGTGTTGTTGGCCGAGACGAGAGTTCAGGCTATATACATTAAATAAGGCGTCTTTAAATAGAAACACACATCAAACAGTGTTATATATCAATCCATTGTGGAAGATATTGTAACAAGAGGCTCATAGGAACATAACCCTATATTTTTCCTAGGGGTGGTGGTTCAGTATTGGCTAATTCAGTGTTCATGGTGACCTTACAGAACATGACTACTCTGAATAATGGGAATTGACCATAGTATTAACTCATTTATTTATCATCAATGCCATGGGGCAGGTATTAAAATTTTCCCTGTTTTACAGATTAAGGAATTGAGGTACTGCATAAACAAATAATTTTTTGAAGGCCACGTAACTATTTATTAGTAAAACCAGAAGTCAAAAGTGGACAGTTTGTTTCCAAAGTTCACTCACTTGACTGTTGTGCCATATTGACTTTAGTGAGGATTAAAACAATTTATTAGGAAAATTAAAGAAGCTGGGAGAATTTAGCCACCATTAAAGAAAGCATGCTTAAAGGAGCAAGCCTAGAAAAATTGGATGGCTTTTCATGTAAAAGAGAAATTAGACTTATATATATTTCCACCATGTAGAATTATTATGACTCGGAGAAGTTGAGGAACTGGTTTTAGCCCAATATGAGGGCTGTTCAGTGGCTGGCCTGTCGTGGGATTTAATGAATGTCCTCAAACTGAAGCTATTAAACTAGAGGTTTGAATGACCATGTGTCAGGTATATCCAGATGGGAATAGAGGAATGCTTTATTCATCAAGAAGTTAGACTAGTTAGTACTTAAGGTCTCCTCCCATTTAAATACAATGATTCTTTTGTCTTGTACATTTTAGTGGCCACTGGCATTAAAGAACATTTTCTCCACACTGTCATAATAACTGGTTTTATTGTAATTTGTATGTCATTGTCTTTTCTGGTCAGTTCTTTTCCCTAATTCAAACTGAATCAGCAAATTGATATTTATGGTCAACTCACTCTTTCAAATTCTCTTTTCTTATATTTTGGATCGCCCCTATTTGCCTGCTCCCCTCTTTATGGCTTTACCTATTTTTCCTCTTCCCTTATTAATAACTCTGGCCAGTCTGACTTTGCTTGTATCTGTCTTAACACGCCTCTTCAATTAGCTTTTTCTTTAAGACTTCTTTTAGAGCAGTTTTAGGTTTACAGCAAAACTGAGAGAGAAGGTACAGAGATTTCCCATCATTATCTCTGTCCCCACATTTACAAGGCCTTTCCCCTTATCAGCATCCCCCATCAGAGTGGTACACTGTTGCAGCTGATGAACTTACATTCAATTAGTTTTTTAATATTAGAGCCTGAGCCATGTAAGACCATTTTATAAAACTATTGAGTGCCTCTTAACACTTACGTTTTATAGGTGCTTTTATTTTTCCAAGTCTTTTTCTTTCTATTGCATCATTTAATTTGGGTAAAGCTGACAGCAGTTCCATTCCATCAGATCGACATTATGCCACTTAAACAGAGGAGGAAGCTTAATGAGTAAACCCCCTACATTCTTTTCTCATCTCCTTAACTCTATACCACTCCAGCTCTTCTACCTTAAACCATATTGACTCATTTTTTATTTCTCAGATTATTTTTTCTACCTGGATTGCTACTTATTTTTGTGTTGTTTTTACCTCTTAATCACCCATAATCATCCTTCAAAATTTTTAAATATCCCTTACCCGTAAAGGATCTGAGCCATGGATGTGAAGTAACCTACCCAGATGTTGGCACTTATTCATGCCTTTGTAATAAGAAAAGGAAAGGGAAGAACTTACTCCTTTTTTCCCCCCCTCTCTTTTCAGGATGAAAAAAGGGGTTGTCTTAGAATAATTACTTCTTTTTAACTCATTTTAATGTCTCTGTATTTTACTTTGCTAATTCCTAATTTCTTAGGTTTATATATTTATATAGTAATTGTGGTTTATATAGTGTTTGTTATTACTTTACTATTAATCTAGATTATTGTTTTACTGATTTGTTTTTTAAAGATTTTATTTATTTATTTGAGAGAGAGAATGAGAGAGAGAGAGCACATGAGATGGGGGAGGGTCAGAGGGAGAAGCAGACCCCCTGCTAAGCAAGGAGCCCGATATGGGACTCGATCCGGGGACTCCAGGATCATGACCTGAGCCGAAGGCAGTTGCTCAACCAACTGAGCCACCCAGGCACCCTGTTTTACTGATTTTAAGTGGAGTAATTTTGGAACTCAAAAGATGGAGAAGATAGAGTGTTTAATTTGTCTAAAATAGTATGTGCTATGAATTCTTAATAATGTTTAAGGAAGAAAATGACCATTGAATAAATTGACTATTTCTGGTTTATTTCTATGAAGGTAGCATGAACAGTTTGTGCCAATAGTTTAGCAGTTTTACTGTTTTAGAGAGGAATAAGAATATAAGTATGGGTTCTTATTTTAGTGTATATGAAGTAGTAAACAAATGTGAAAAATAAAGACAGTTTACTTAGAGGTTTTTAAGTGTTATGAGGGGTCATAGAATTAATTAAACTGATTTTGTCCTATTAATAAGATTCATTACTCTCATTTTTGTATATTGAATCAACCTTGCATTTTTGGAACTCTGTTTTATACATCTTTACATCTTCAAAGACAGATATAGTATAATACTGGCAAATAGTTGACACTTAATAAGTATTTGTTTAATAAATGAGAGGCGAAAAGAAATAATAATGTTAAGCAAAAATCACTACAGGTTTTAAGTTTGTGATTGAAAGCAGTGATTTATGTAAACCTGCTTATTTAAACCATCTTAGGAAAAGACTATTCAGTGAAGCTAAACCTATAAATCATATAAATAAATAGAACAGGAGTACTTTATATATTTAAATGGTATGAAAATCTATAAATTAAAACCATTATATATATGACCAGGTTTTACTAAAATAATTCTGTGCAGCTGTTGTATTAACATATGTCAGTTGGAGGTTTAGACTGACAAACATTGGACATAGTATCTTAGGATGGGAAATGAAACATGTTTTACTTTTATAAAGGTCAGAGATGCAGTCAGGATACAAAGCAGAGAGATCAGCAATTTTATTTAGTTGTAAGTGGTGGTGTAAGCTTCCAGGACCCCCCCAAAAGAGCCTTACCCGTAGACATGCAGCTTCAGATTACATGTCTGAGTGTCATATCCTCTTAAAGTTTATGGGCCCTCTTCAGGCCCAACCTTATATAAAGGGACTATAGCTGACTAGGATACAGCCTTGCCTGGATATATGCAGGGAGGTATGTTGCATCCAGACTAGATATTAATCTCATAATTATACGGTGCATAGTATGACTGCTAGAGGATAACACATGTGCACTACAGAGGCATAAACAAATTTCTTATTCATTGTTCTTAATCTACTCAAACTACCATGGGTTATGAAGTACATTTCTGAATTTGGTGATGTGGAACTAGATACATACACCTGACAGTCACAATAAAAGGCTCTTAACCAGTTATTGGAATTATCTAATCTTAGAAAATTCCAATGATGGAAATCAGGAAGTGTTTAAATCTTTTGGAAGACAGGAAAGACATTACTTCATGTATTATTCAGAACATAGTTATGATCTTAAAGAGAGGCTGTAGCAAGTTTGTGTGCCTTAGTAGCCAAAATCTGAGTGGAAGCACAGCCAATCACTTGTTCATCTTTTTAACTCACCTCCAAAATTAACTGCAGTTGATATTATGCTATGAGTTCTCTGATTGTTGGGGCTGGGTTTTATTTATTTTTGTATCTTTCAAAATATATTAACAGGCAGGCATAATATGTAAAAGGCACAATATATATTAGGTACAATAGAACAGGTATAGTATATATTAGATGTTCAACAAATGTTTATATATATATTTTAAACTAAAACCTAAATTTTTAAAATTTAAAAAAAATTTTTAGAGAGAGGGAGCACATGCCAGCAGGGATGGGAGGCGCAGAGGGAGAGGGGTAGAGGGAATCTTAAGCAAGCTCCACACCCAGTGCAGAGCCCGACTCAGGCCTCAGTCTCACAACCCTGAGATCATGACCTGAGCAGAAATCAAGAGTCGATGCTTAACCAACTGAACCAGCCAGGTGCCCTTATATTTTTTATTTGTAGTCTAAACTCAACATGTTTACATTCTTTTATAATTGTCAGAGAAAGATACAGAAATATAACCTGTGCATTTTACTTTTTAATAGTTGTGATACTCAAGGAATTTAGACATTGCTTTTTAACTGTATTTTGAAAACTCACAAACTTTTTATTCATTTTTGAATTTGTATTTCAGTTTTGAAATTGCTACTGTACTGCATTAATTTTACTTCAGTGCTGTTTAAAGAAGGTTCTTAGATATATTTGGTACAGAGTTCTGAGATAAGTTTCACTACTGGGAAACTATTGAGATTCTCCTATAATTAAATATAGTCCAAAATAATAAATGTGAGAGAAACCTTCTTGATAAGATTTGGAGTAGTAGTATAGATTTTACTTCTATTTAAAATAGTGAAGAATGTGATTTAGGTAGTAGTAAAATATGTAGCTATTTTTTCATTACAGGGGAAGGTTTTATTTCATATTCTGCAACAAAGAAAACATTTAGAATAAGTCTAATTTTTAACTTTTTGAAATACTTAATGTTCAGAATTTCTGACTTTGCTATTTGTCCAAATTACTCAGGCAAAAGGGGCAGCTAGCTGTGGAAAGAGCTAAACAAGTAGAAGAGTTCCTACAACGAAAACGGGAAGCACGGCAAAATAAAGCTCGAGCTGAAGGACATATGGTACGATTTTTTTTTTTTTGAGATTTTGAACATATTAATATTCAAAGTGAAGGTCTGGAACAAGGTAGGTATAAATGAATTCTAAATCTTTACGAACATTTACTCTAAACTTTACAGAGTATAAAGTTGTGATAATGTCTTTACCATATGTCTTCTGCCATATCTTATACCAAGGTGAAATTCTATCGATGATTTGGTTAATTAGGAGTACGTTCATAGCTGTAATCTTCCTTTAAAAAGAGAAGTAGATAAAGCAACCTAGATATTTATATTAAAACAAATGAGTTTTTACATTGCTAGGTTTGTTTTTTCATACATGCTTTTGGTTTTAAATACTTTTAAGTAGCAAAGAATTTTAAAAGAAAAATGGGAAACATTTTGATAAATATAAGTGTAACTATGTATTTTCTCAAACACACATTAGAAGCAAAAGTATATTAAAACCTCCATTATGCCAGCTAACTTAATTAAGTCATGTATCCAAGAAGATATTAACAGTTTTTAGATAATCATTTTAGTAGTTAAAACTTAATAGTTTTGACTTGTAGAGGTGCACAAATGCCTTTTGACCTTTTGTCCACAGAACAACTGATGATTGTTTCTATCAGCACACCACACCATGAAGCATCCTGCTAACATAGAAAATAGGTCAATTATATGGTAGTGTACTTGGATTACATTTATAACTACTATAAGTTCATAAGTGGTATCTTTGTGAGTTAATTATTTCAGTTGAGGATATTTTTCTTTGAAATAATGTCATCAAAATATACTTATATTTTTTAATGGTTACCCTTTATATTTTTAACGCATGAATTTGTTTTTCTAATTTTGGAATTAATCTGTATTTGTATCCTTCCTGTAGATAGTAGAAGAGAACCTCCTGTGTTTTCTCTTACCCCATATCTCCAAAGTTAATAGCATCTGGAATTTTAGTTAGATTTTAATTTAAAATATTTTAAAACAATTATTAGACTTGTCAAGATTTATATATTTCTTTCCTCATCATTACATTCTACTATTCTGCCCTCACTTTATTTTTCTTTATGATGGAGAATATTCTCTGGCAATTCTTTTGGACAGAAACTTCCCAAGATATGTTGGGAATTGTCTTTATTTTGTCCTCATGCTTAAATGATAAGTTGTAGTAGTGGTCAGTTGGTGAATATGCTTAGCATTTGTATGCCTGAAAAATTATTTTGCCTTCTTTTTTGAAAAATATTTTTGGTGAGTGTAATATTATAGGTTGATATTTTTTTCTTTCTGTACTTTAAAGATGTTTCTCTAGTTATCTTCTGGCATGTCTGTTTCTGATAAGAAGTTCACTGTCATTCTTATCTTTTTCCTATATATGTAATATGTCTTTTTTCTCTACTGACTTGTAACATTTTATCACTGGAAACAGTTTGATTACAGTGTAGCTTAGTGTAGTTTTCTTCATGTTTATTTTGTTGGGATTCACTGAGTTTCTTGGATCTGTGGATTTACAATTTTCATCAAGTTTGGAAGAATTTCACCTATTTATTAAAAAATATTTTTCTGTTCTCTCTCTGATTCTGAGACTCTCAGTACCCATTCACTAGACCATGTGATGCTCTCTCAACAGCTCATTGAGGGTCCGTTCATTTTTTTTCACTCTCTTTTCTATTTTTCATTTTGGATAGCTTTTATTTCTGTATCTTCAGGTTCATTAATCTTGTCTTCTGCTTTGTCTAATCTATTAATCCCATGCAGACATTGTATTTCTTTTTAATCTCAGAAAATTTTTTCATCTTGTATTTTTTTATTTCTTAAAGTTTATTTGGGTCATTTTTATACTTTCCATTTCTCTCTTTATAATGTTTATGTTTTTCTCTACATTCTTGAATTTGAAGATAATAGCTGTTTTAATGACCTTTAATAATTCTGTTATCTTTGTCATTTCTGATTGATTTTTCTCTTCATTGCAGTCTTTTCCTACTTCTTCACATACCTCGTAATTTATGATTGGATGCCAGGTATTGTGTGTGTGTATAAAAATTTTGGATTTTTTCATATTTAAGTATGTTGGGGCTTTATTCTGGGATGCAGTTAAGTAACTAGGAAATGGTTTTGAGTCTTTCAGAGTTTGCTTTTAAGTTCTGCTAAGGCAGATCCAGAACAGCCTTAAGTCTAGAACTAATTTGGCCCCATTGCTTCAGCTACTGCTTCTTTCCTTTTTCTCCTTAAGAGAATGCCTATTAGAGGGATAGATTGGAACTTTCATCAAATGTCCTTTTGTCTGTACTTCTGTTTCACCCTTTTTATCCCTTTCTCATCCTTTTTATCCCTTTCTCTCTTACTGCTATATTTTAGAAATATTCCTAGGCCTGGTTTTTAGCTCACTAATATAGTCTTAAGTGTTGTCTACTCTACAGTTCAGCCCACCTAATGAGTTTCTTCTTTTGATTTAGAAACTTGTGTTTTCATGTCCATGAAATGTAATTCGTTTTCCCCTAAATCTCCTTAATCATATTCTCATTTTTCTGATAATACTACAGTTATTGCAAAATCTTGTTTTTAGTGTGCTATTATTGGTTTCCTCCGTTTTTGAGTTCTCTTATTTCACAGTGTTGGCATTCGTCAAACCTTGGTGTTCTTGACAGTATTCACATTTGGGAGTGGCTATTTTATTGCTCATTACCTTTGTTTGAATGACCTCCTGGTGAGATGGGAGAGTGTTATTGACCTGTCCCCAGCACAGTTTTCAGTGGGAGTAGAGAATGGATGGAACTGGTATTGATATTCTGTTAGGCAGATACCTCAACAGTTTATTTTCTGGGCTAAGGAGACTCTCATTCTTCTTCATTATAACCAGTCATTCAGAGGATTAGCCTGTCTTTTACCACTACGCCCTCTCTGGTCACTCCTATCTGAAGGTAACTAACTGCTTTCTGGCTTGTGGAGATGAGTAATGCAATGGAGGTAATCCTCTTACTGCAACCACTGTTGTCTGCTCCTAGACCTTCTCATGTTCTTAGCTTCCAACAAGTCTGAGAGCATGCTTAATGCTGCTCACATCTTCTGTGATAGTATTCTTTCTGACATGCTTTTGCTAGGGAAATTTCTCACTTAAAACTGATTTTGTATACTTTTCTTTATCTCTGGGTTCCTTATGTACTTGGGACTACCAAGAGTTTTGCTTGTTTTTGAGTGCTGATATGTATTCACTTAAAACAACTTTCTTCTAGGATTTTGCAAGAAGGGAAGCAATAGTGTCATGTTGCCATCTTACAAACAGAATTTAGTATTTTTTTTTAAAGATTTTATTTATTTTTTTTTGACAGAGAGAGACACAGCGAGAGAGGGAGCACAAGCAGGGGGAGTGAGAGAGGGAGAAGCAGGCTTCCTGTGGAGTGGGGAGCCTGATGCAGGGCTCTGTGCCAGGACCCTGGGATCATGAACTGAGCTGAAGGCCGATGCTTAATGACTGAGCCACCCAGGCGCCCCCAGAATTTAGTATTTTTATTTTCTTATCATTAAAAAAAACCTTAAATACTTAGAGATCAGCAGTGCATTTTGACTGATTTTTTATATGACCTTCCAAGATTCATTTTGTTAAACTATACAGAATTTCTTCATTCCCTAGATGACTAAGTGTATACATAAAACTTTACCTTAGAAAGATGTGGGTAAGAGTGAAGAATTTCTATTTTTCTATTTTATATTGGGTATTGCATCATATATTAAGTTTTGTCTATCTGCTAATTTAAAAACAAGGCAGTTAAACATTTTTGGGGTAGTAGGTTAATTAATTAAAGGTTACTTAATTAAAGCTTACTCAGATGTAGTTTGTCTCTAGAGTAATTTATCATCTTAATGTTGAATAAGAATATATACACTAGTAATGTGAGGCAATGAATAGAAGTGAGAGCTAAAGTTAACTGTTGGGAAGGCCTCACAGATTTTAAGTTTGAAGTTAGAACTTTTTTATAATGAGATAGAGGTACTATTTAAAGTTTGCCTCTCTGTATTAGTTTTCTATTGCTGTGTAACAAATTACCATAAACTTAGTAGCTTAAAGCAACACAAATTTATTACAGTTTCTGTGATCAGGAATCTGACATGTTTTAACTGGATCCTCAGCTCATGGTTGCATAAAGCTAAAATCATGATGTCAGCCATCTGTGTCCTTATCTGAGGCTCAAGTAGGGCAAGATCTTCTTCACTGCTTAAGTTGGTAGAATTCTTTTTCTTGCTGTTAAAGGATTGAGGTCTTCATTGTCTGACTAGCTTTTGACCAGGGGTCCATCTCATTTCTAAGAGACCACTGTCAGGTCTTTGCCATGTGGCCCCCTTCATCTCAGCAACAGATAACTTTTTGTGCATCAAACCCCTCCCATGCTTCAAATTCCTGACTGCCACTTCTACACCCAGCAGGAGAAAACTCTAATATTAAAGAGCTCATGTGATATCACTTCACACCTGTCAAAATGGCTAGTATCAAAATAAGAAATAGTGTTGGTGAGGACATGGAGGAAAGAGAGCCCTTGTGCTCTGAGCAGTAATGTAAATTGGTGCAGCCACTGTGGAAAATAGTATGGAAGTTCCTCATAAAATTAAAAATAGAAATACCAGCTGACTTAGCATTTCCATTTCTGGTTATTTACCCAAAATAAACAAAGATACTAATTCAAAAAGATATATGCACCCCTGTCTTTATTGCAGCGTTATTTACAATAGCCAAGATATGGAAGCAGCCTAAGTATCCATTGATAGATGAATGAATAAAGAAGATATTGTATGTGTGTACACACACACACATATATGCGCATGCACACACACACATGCGCATGCACACACACATACATGCACACTCATAGGAATACTACTCAGCCATGTAAAATAATGAAATCTTAACATGGATAGACCCAGAAGATGTTATGCTAAGTGAAATAAGTTAGGGAAAGACAATAAACTGTATGACTTCATTTAAATATGGAATCTAAAAAACAAAGTAGAAATGGACTCATAAATACAGA